AGTAAACTATAGGCAATATAACAGAGTTTCCCAGACTCCAGTCACTTGACACCCCCCTTCAAGATTTTTACCCATGCACCCACTACCTGTATTATTATTATTTTTCTTTAAATGAACTTACTTTTTGAACTTCTTAGAAAAATGTAGAGGAAATTTTATACCAACCATAATATACAACTGGTATCAGGTGCCATAAATGTTTATAAATCCAGCCACACTGTGGCCTGCCTGCCCAAGGCTCCGCAGAGCCGGGTCCCGTGCATGGGAAGCGAGTTAGAGAAGTGTTTTCTTCGAGGAATTTTAGTTTCAGGTCTTATGTTTAAGCCTTTAATCCATTTTGAGTTGACTTTTGCATACAGTGTAAATAAGGATCCCGTTTTATTCTTCCGCGCGTGGATATCCAGTTTTCCCAGCACCACTTGTCGAAGAGACTGTCCTTACGCCATTTGTATCTTCTTGGTGCCTTTTTTGAAGATCAGTTGACTGTATGCATGGATTTATTTCCGCTCTCTTGGCGATGCTTTTTTGAACATGATATCAAGAGTGCATGTAACAAAATAATAAAAAGCTAGTAGGACTACGTCAAACTCAAAGGTTCCTGCTCAGCATAGGAAACAATCAACAGAGTGAAAAGTCAACCCGTGGGAGAAAATATTTGCAAACCATATCTCTGATAAGGAGTTAATCTCTAAAATATATAAGGAAGTCCTCCTATATCTCGATAGCAAAGAAACTAATAACCCAATTAAAAAGTGAGCTAAAGACTTGAGTAGACATTTCACCAAAAAAGATACATAAATGACTAACAGGTACATATAGCTCAACATTAAAATGTTCAGTGTCATTGATCATCAGGAAAATGTAAATCAAAAGCACACTAGGATATAACCTCACACCTGTTAAGATAGCTATTATTTTTTTTAAAGAAAAGATAACAAATATTGGTGAGGATGTGGAGAAATAGGAACCCTCATACACTGCTGGTGGGACTGCAAATTGGTACAGCCACTATGGAAAACAGTATGGAGGTTCCTCAAAAAATTAAAAATAGAACTGCCACAGTATGGAGGTTCCTCAAAAAATTAAAAATATGACGCAACAGTCCCACTTCAGGGTATTTATCCAAAAGAATTGAAATCGGAATCTCAGAAACTAGCACTCACGTGTTAATTGCAGCCCTATTCACTGTAGCTAAGATGAGGAAACAACCTAAACGGGGTATGTGCATAGAGCAAAATACTATTCAGCCTCTTTAAAGAAGGAAATTCTGTCCTATGTGACAATGGGGATGAATCTTGAGGACACTGTGCTAAGGGAAGTAAGCCAGTCACAGAAAAACAAATACTGTGCGATTCCGTTTGTGTAAGGTGTCTAAGATAGTCAGATTCGTAGCATCAGAGAGTGAAATAAAATGGCGGGTCCCGGGGCTCGGGGGGTGGGGAATGGGGAGTCACTAACCAACCGTGTGAATCAGTCAAACAAGATGCATAAGCTCTGGCGGTGTGCCGTACAGCAGCCGACAGTGCTGAACCAAGCACTTAAAAATGTGTGAAGAGGGTAACTCTCATGTTAAGTGTTCTTACCCCAATAGAGTAAAGTTTCAAACACATAAAGAGAGAGAAGTGTGAGCTCTCTAAGGCATGCTTTCTTTTGAAGTTAAAGAGGATCGAAAGAGCACTGAGGAGCCACGAGCTTTCTCTGTGGCCCGAGCATCGTTACTTAGCATAATCGTCTCGGTGACTCAAGAATCACCTCACTATTGTACTCACTACTGTACAGAAAGCCATGAGGTTAACTTAATGTTTACCAAGCAGCTGGCAATATGCTAGAAACTTATAGCCACTCCCTCGCTTATTCCGTAGTACAACCCTCCAGGACGGGTGTTAGTTCTTTCCAGGTTACAGATGAGCAAACCGAGGCTCAGGGGGGTGATGGGATGTGACCCCAGCCAGAATCAGGAGCTGGATCTGTCTGACCTTTTATCTTGACCCTCGGCAAGCAGGACTTGCTTGCTCTACCTCTCCCCTCGTTCCTGCATCGACCACAAGACCAGGATTCTATCCAGGACAAAACTGAACTTTCCTGGAACTGTGGTTCTTTGTCGTTACTGACCAAACACAAGACAAGTCAGGGATATTTCGGAAGTGGAATTATTTCTCTGCCCCGGGTCATGTTTTTACTGTTAGCCTGTCCTTTCAAATGAAAGGGGCAAACATCAAAGCATTTAGTGCTGCCTTTTATTAGAGCTTGGCTTTATTTTATGGTTTCGGGGTTTGCTTTGGCTTTTACTTCCTAGGAATTGCTCAAAACCGAAAGAGAACTTGGCATCGTTGGGAGGTTTCCGTGGGCCTCACGGGTCCATTTGGGGCCTCTGCCCATTTCAGCAAGCAGCACCCTGCGAGGCCCCCTCTCGGCAGAGACCCTGGCCACTGCAGGGCCCACCCAGCTCTCCCAAAACAGGGCCATGTGGCCACATTCAGGCCCCTTCCTCACATCGCTTATGCAGTGAATGCTCTGGACCAGGCGTCAGGGTCCTCAAGCACTGTCTAGGCATGGAGCAGAGGTGCAGGAGGCACAGCCACATACCCCTGCCCCCTGCGGATTTGGGGTGGAGGAGCTGGAGTCCGCCAGTCCTGGGCTCTGAAGTCTAAGTCACTTCACCGGAGCCCATTCCCCCATCTCTGAAATGGGTCAGCCCTCCCGGGGTACATGAAGCTGTGCAGACGACTGCACTTTGGGGGCCATCAAGTGCTGAGCCACCATGAGGGATGTGGTTACTGCAGTCTGGAGCAAGCCACAAGATTTCTGCCCACGAAGCAGCCGGAACACTCCACAGTCCAGCATATAATCAGCTCCTTCATTATGTGGTTCCAGCTGCAAGAGCTGCAGGATTTCAAAGGAAAGAGAGACCCACGGGGCGCCCGGCACAGCCACTCGTCTTGGACAGGAGAATGCATACTTGCTGCTCCAAACCAGAGGGAGAAGGGGCTCAGAAATGGGAGGCGGGAAGTGGCTGCTGTCTCCCTCGTGGGCTCTCTGCCTTGGGCCTAGAAAGGCTTGGTCTCTGGGGATTTGCTACTGAGCAGAAGTTATGTCCAGGTTAGTAAAGAAATCAATGAGCTACAAATACTAGGTCAGCATCCTTCACCCCCGAAGGAGAGAGAGTAAACAGTGGTCAGGGAAGGCACCCTATTAAAACACGTGCACTCACCTCACGGGTTTTTCCACTTTAGGTCTGGGGCAGGTCACACCTGGGGGTGGGGGGTGGCTTAGAGTCAGCAACCCAAGTGACCATCGATTGGTGAATGAACTAATCCATACAATCAAATATATTCAGCCTTGAAAAGAAAGGAAATTCTGACACATGCTGCAGCGTGGATGAACCTAGAGCACATTATGCTGAGTGAAATAAGCTGTTCACCGAAAGAGGAATCCGTGTGATTCCGCTGACACAAGGTCCCCAGAGGAGTCACCTTTACTCAGACAGAGTGGCGGTCACCAGGGGCTGGGGGCGGCGGGGAATGGGGAGTCGTCGTTTCATGGGGGCAGAGTTTCAGTTTTGCAACGTGAAATGAGTCCTGGAGATGGGTGGCAGGTGGCGGTGACTGCACAACCGTGGGAATGTGCTTCCCGCCACTGAACTGCATACTGAAACATGGTCAAGAGGGTAAATTTTAGGTTATGTGTATTTTACCACAACTAAAAAATTTTTTTTAACTTGAAAAATAAATGACGTAGGCTCAAGACACCCCTGGTCCCCCGTAGAAGATGCCACGTAGGAGACCCCCATCCCTCTCTCCCCCGTAGCCCAGTAACAGCGCGGGACGTCACTTTGCAGGGAAGGGAGGGGCGCTTTTAGGGGCTCGTCATACAGATAATACAAGGCACGTCTTTTCCACCCCAGACTCACTCAGCGTGACAGGCAGGCTCACGAGAGGCACCAGGGAGCTGAGGCCTTCTGTGGAGAGAGCAGGATCCTGCCTCACTCCAGAGCCTCTGCTGGGGGGAGACACAGCTGGCAGAGTCACCTGCACGTGTGCCCGGGCACTGTCCCTGCACGGAAGTCCGTAATGACGTGTGTGTGTGAAACCGCTTTACTGGACTCGGATCTGTGTCCTGAGGACCTGGGCCAGAGGGGGCTGAAGTAAATGTTTGTTAAAATAAGCTATTTATTTATGATAGAGCTGTGTCTTAGTTTCGGATCCTTTCGTGATCAGACGTACCCTGTACTCTCCCCTGTTTGGCACGGACACCAGTGCAGCGCTGGGCGTAAGGAAGATGTCCTCCGACTCATTGAATGAATACCTATTGGTAGATAAACCAGCCTCAAAGGCCTGGTCCCACTCTGCCCCGCACCTCCCACCCTCCTCCTCCTCCTCCTCCTTATGGCAGTTGAGGCTCCTTTAACTGATGAGCCGAGGTGGCAAATTAACCTGGCCTTGGGTAGTGGGAGGTCCCGGATATTTCCGCCTCATTCACCTGGGAACTTCCGACCTCTATCGAAATCATAAAACAGTCCCTCCACTTCAACACCCAGATCCACGCGTTAGGACGCACAGGAAGGCACGTCGGAAGCAGCGTGCATCTTCCTTGGGAGGCAGCTGTTCAAATGAAGCCTGATACTTCTATGCAGTAGACACCCAAGATCCAGTATAGGTGGTAGAGAAGGGTAGTGACGTAGCATGAAATTCACAATTTATCGTTTTGTCTAAATATGTATGTGTATTATTTGTCCAAACATGCCTGCGGTATATGTGTGTATATACGTACACTGTGTGTGCGCACGCACGCACGCACGCACGCACGCGGTCCCCACACCAGCATCGGCAGCATCACCAGCAAATGTGAAGATCTGGGGGTGGGGCCCAGCGATCTGTGCTTTAACAGACCTCTCCCCAGTGCCTCAGGATCCTGCGGCCAGGCTGAATTGGAGGACTCCTGGCTTATGGCAGTGGGGACACCCCTTTTCCTTCTTTTGACTCACCCGTTCTCTTCTCCAGGCCCTGATCCAGCTGCCCCCCTATATCTCTCAGTGTGATGAGGTGCTGCAGTTCTTTGAGACAAGACCTGAGGACCTCAATCCCCCAAAAGAGTAAGTCGGCTTGTGGACCTCCCCCGAGTGTTCCCCCACAGTCCCCCCTCCTGCCAGGCCAGTCAGCTAGAGGAAGAACTGGAGAACAGCAAAGGACGAATTAAACTGGATTCCACCGAGCGAGCCCCCACTGGGCCTCACCTCATGAGCCCTCACAGTCACTGTAGGCGGGTAATGCAGTCAAGTTTGATAGGTGAAGGAAGCTGGCTTAGTGCTCCCCTGGCGCCCCCAACACCTGCACTTGCCCTCAGCACGCAGCGTGGGCACAGGAGGGACCGGAAGCCCCAGAGGCACTGAGCGGTACATCATCTCCTGCCTCGGCCACAAGGGGCGGCGTGCTCTGGACAATTAGGAATGTGACCGGAAGCCCCAGAGGCACTGAGCGGTACATCATCTGCCTCGGCCAGGAGGGGCGGCGTGCTCAGGACGATTAGGAATGTGAGTGAGTGACAAGGCCAGGTTTCCATCTTGGTCGGCCGGGCTCCAGAGCTGTCTGAAATGACCACCACAGCCCCTGCCTCCCTCTCGCTTCTCCCAGCAGCGGGCAGGAAGCACTCCCAGAGAGATGCCTGTCTGCACATCCCCAGCGGCTCAGTGCACGTCGCACAGAATCTCAGGGTGCAGGGTGCCGGCATTGACACGGTGCTGGCCGACGGTACCAGCCCTGCCCGTGTGAAACACCGACATACACGTGGCTCTCTTTTGGGGGAGACCACAGGTGCTGGCGCCATCCTAGGGTCACAGGAGCAAGAGCCGGCACCTGTCAGGAAGGGCCGAGAAGCGCTGGCCAGTCTCTGTTACAGGAGAAGTGTAAACTGCCCCTCTTCGCTCTGAACTTGACTGAGAGCACAAAACAGCCATCATAACCCAGGCTAATGTTTGTAAAATAGTTACAGCATACTAAGCACTTTGCATATATCAAAAAGACTAAAAAGACTCATGTTGCTAAAAAGACTCATGTTGCATTTTGGAAATGAATCTATTGAAATCATAAAGCTTAGTTTTTAAATAGACCTGCAAGGAGAAAGCATCAAAGAGTTTTAGCAAGCGGAGTCAGGCCATTTACATATACTCAGGCAGTGACATGCAGAATCAAGTTCAGGGGCCACAGAGAGTGAGTTGATCACTCAGGACTAACGGTTTAACTACCACACAGATGAGTAAACGTCCTACAATAAACATATTCCAGTAAATGTCATTTTTCTATGGCAAGTACGGAGTGGATGCAGCTTCTCAGAGCTAGCACACAGAAGCGTGGCTTCAAAATTAGGGAAGACATTCCATAAGGGACAGTAAACCTATATGCCAGAACATTCTCAGAAGAGAATGTTTTGCTGCATAATAAGTACACACCTGATAATACCGTAGCCCTTCCTGGCTAATGTTTCTGTTCTTGATGTCTTTAGCATTTGTGTCTGGTAAACATTCTCAGCATTTACCAACATAACATGACATGGTAAACTATTCTTAAAGCACCTTTGTCTCCGGTCCTCCTGGGTTTTTGGGGTTACACTGCCAGCTCTGGATTGTAGCTCTCACTTCGATGCTCATTTCCAGGCGAGGTGAATCACACACCATGGAGCTTATAGATGTGTCATTCTCTCATGAAACTGCTAGGTAAGGAACCGTCATATGCATTTGATAGATGAGGAAGCTGAGACTCAGAATGACGAAAGACTCACCCGATTTCACACAGTTTGGAAGAGGTGGAGATGCATTTTCCCCAGGTCTTCCCGAGTCTTAACCTAAGCTTTATGCAGCCTCTGTGTGTGCCTCCCACACGAGGGCCAACCAAGCTGAGGGAGAGCCTGGGTTTGCGATCGGGTTCTCCCAGGTTTGAATTGCACCCCCACCCCTCGTGGGCTGCATAGTCTTGGGCCTCCCTCACCTCACCCCTGGGCTTTCATTTCCTTCCCGTGGAACAGGAATGGCTGTCCGCCCTAGTATCATGGTAAGGAACGAACGGCTGCCATAAGTAAAACTTCCAAGAACTGGTCAAATGCTCAAAAGTGGTGGCCCATGGTATTTTTCCTTTCCGAACACCCAACGATAGTTGTTTAAGATGTCTAGTTGGTAGACCTCCGGCAGGGAGAATTGCCTGACCTCTTTCAAGCGGGGCGAGCTTGGGCAGGTCGCTTTTCACCCCGTGCCTCAGTTTCCTCTTGCGTGAGCTGGGCCCTATCAGGCCGCCTTCCTCACAGTGGTGCTGGGGAATCCACTGAGAAGATGTGCAGAGATGCCCCAATCTAACTCGGTGTCCTCCGGCGGGAGGAAGACGGAGCACCAGCCCCCTGAGGGCAGGGACCGACCTCGCCGTGGGTTCCTTGGGCCGCAGGTTCAGTCATCCCTAGATTGTCTTCTGCTTCACCTCAGTGTCCCCGAGACCTTAACTTTGAGCGATGGATCATGGACCACTTGGAGAATTCAATAAAAAGCCTCTTCCCTTGCCCCAGAAAAATGTCTCCAGTTTCAGGAGGTCCTCGGTTGTGCCCCATTTCATCTGTAGCTTGGGGCCCCTTCTGAATGCTAATGCCAGGATGTCTTGGGCCTCCTGCTGGTGAGGATGGGTAAAATGGGTCCCCAGCCTCTGAGCAAGCGTCGGACCAGCTTACCAGCACAGAGAGGAGAAAGCCAGGCCAGGGGCAGCTGCTGGGCCTGCAGAGTGAGCATCTTCATTCAGAAAGGGAAGATGCTGGGGGATACAGGGCGGGAGCCAGCCCTTGAGTGGAGCCAGAAGGACATCAGAGAGGCTGAGTGGTGGCTTTGTCACACTCTCTGGTAGAGCAGCAGGACTTTCTCTGCCTCCTGGCTGGCTTAGGCTTGTAGAAGGAACACAGGGCCAGGAGTGCTAGACTGGGGGCTGCGTTGTTTATCTGGCTAGCACAGAGGTATTGGGGGCCTGCTGAGTACCAGGCCCAGTGCTAGGTTCGGGGAACACAGGGATGACCGGACAGATCCAGTCTTTGCCCACAGGGAGTTTATAGTCTGCCGGCCGGGCAGATGGATCCGCTCCCCCACTTTCGGCCTCAGTCGCTGTGCCAGGAATGAGATGACGTCACCTGCCCCACCCGCATCATGGGATTATAGCGAGGCTGAAATGAAATAATGGGTTCTGAGAATTAGGGCATGGTCAGCAATGAGTTTTCCAAGTTTGGGGTTGATATCCTATTGGCCCTTCACCCCCACCCCAGGTGTTATATTTGATAATTCAAAGGATTTTTCCTCAGTTTCCTGGAGTGAGAGTTTTATTCTGATGCTTTTCAGGAGAGTCCATTTCCTTACTTCTTAAATTTGAATAATAGTAACACGTCCTGCACAGGGCCATGCTGAGGCTTGGGTGCATAACGGGTGTGGAGTGCTTAGTGCAGTACCTGGCACGTAGTAGGTACACAGCCGGTTTTCACAGTTCCTGGGCTGTCAGGGCCAAGATGCTTGGATTTTGCAACCTTTTATAGACGGTAACAGAGAAGCCACTTGGTCCGTTTGATTGTCATTAAGCCTCTGGAAGGGCTGGGCACCACATGGGGAAGCTTGTGCCCACACAAGAAGACCAGAGTCGCAGCCCTTCCAGATTCCTCTTCATCCCCCACGCATCCCACAACTGCCACCCACGTGGAATGCCCAGGAATGGAGTACCGATAGAGGCTACAACACAGGTGGCCCTCGAAACACTATGCTACGTGAAAGAAGCCAGTCGGTCACAAAAAGCCACATATTGTGTAATTCCATTCAGATAACATGTCCATAATAGACAGATCGTTAGAGACAGCAAGCAGATTGGTGGTTGCCAGGGACGGGGAGGGGTAGGAGCGGAGAGTGGCTGCTAGTGGGTATGAGGGTATCTTTTGGGGGTAATACTTTTCTGGAATTAGTACAACTTGTGAGCATACTAAACCCCAGTGAATTGTATGCTTTACAAGAGTGAATTTTATGGTATGCAATTATATCTCAATTTTTAAAAATTAGGTAGACCTGGCTCTGCTACTGGCTAGCTGTGTGGCCTTGGGTGAATCACTTAACTTCTCTGTGCCTCATTTTCCTCATCTTTACTCGTTTCCTAGGGTTACGATAAGCATTAAGTGATTAACTGGTATTACAGGGTGCCGGCACAGGGTAGTGGCATTTAGTCAGTGTTAGCTAACGTTGCTGTTGCCACATCTGTCTCAACCCAACCGCTTGTCACCTCACTTCTGTTTCTAACCTTTTTACCAATGGGATAATTTACTTTAAACCCTGGTCTGTAATATTGTCTTTGTAAGGCACTGTGTGTACAAACTCTGATGTGGTCAACACCATCATTCATTACTCATTTTTTATGAATTCGAGCCCATGGTAGCGTCCCCGTGTCATCATGGGGGGATGTGCTGTGTTCAGTGCTATCCAGAGTTCTACCCAGGTTTAGCGTGTTCCCCTTACTGCCAAGTCCCTTCTGTTCCATGTCTCGGGGCCCCGAGAAGTCGAGGGGGAGGGCTCCACTGTGCCTGACAAGGTGGGTATCATGCTTGGTGCTTTCCGACCGCCTGCCCCAAACCCAGAGCACTTATCAGGCAAAGGGAGAGAATTATGAGGAATTCGTTCTCTTTTAAGGAGTCTGGGTCCCTGTGGCTGGCTTGGGTTTTACTCACTGGCTGGGGATGTTGTGGGCTGAAGAATCTGAGTTTCCTAATGAAATAACTCACGTCCATCTACAACAGGTGCTGACTCATTCCTCTTTCCCACCCCTCATTCTTTACAGGGAGCATGTTGGAAAAAAGAAATCTGGTAAGAATAGTTTTCATTTTCTCCTATTCATTTAATGTTCCGCATACCCGTACTGAGCAGCTGTGATGCACCAGGCCCTGGGCTGCACATTGGGGATACAGCCATGGGGATGGATTGATGGATGGATGGATGGATGGATGGATGGATGGATGGATGGATGGATGGGTGATGGATGGGTGGATGGACGGATGGATGTGGATGATGGATGGATGGATGGATGAATGGATGATGCATGGATGGATGGATAGATGGATGGATGGATGGACGGATGGATGGATGATGGATGGATGGATGGGTGGGTGGACAGATGGACAGATGGCTAGATGCTGGATTGATTGGTTAATACATCACCATTTCCCAAAAAGAGGGATTGGAGGTTATTTCACGTACAAAGCGGATGAGACCTGATGTCTGTCCCTGAGAATGCCTTGGAGGAGTAGGGGAGAGAGACAGCTTTCTAGCCATGCTGAAGGGCATTAAATGCCTATGTTCTGATGTAGACAAAGGAATGTAGTAACTCAGAGTTAAGTACGTTTTTCTCAGGTATCAGAGAAGATACCTGAGTATCTTCCCCACAGTCACTGTCCCCAGAGTCACTTCTCTTTCTTCCTAAAGCTCTTTCCGTTCCCCGCCCAGCACAGGTCTTCCATCAAGAACAGCTGTGGGATTTGGGCACACCAGAGGAATGGTTGAGTTCTCACAGGCCCAGAGTTGATAAATTTAGCTTCATAATTGCCTAAGATGATCCTGCAAAAGACTCTGGCCCATGCCTCACCTGGAGCCAATGAGGCCTTCAAAGCTTCTAAGTTCTTTGATTTATCTAGGACTCCAGGAAGTTAGAGGGGGTTGGTAAGGATGAGGAAAGGGGGCCCAAGCAGAGATCCCAGTAAAAACGGATGCCTCCTCCCAAGGACCTCAGTTTCCTCATCTGTGAAAAGAGATAATAATAGCGATCTACCTTATAGGATTATTATAGAATTTATAACATGTATAAACCACTTGGAAAAGTGCCCAACGTGTTGTAAGTGATACATGATTGCTGCTGTTTTTAATGACTCCTGCTACTGTTAATTCAGAGAACGGGGTGTCCCTGTGCAGCATCAATAGTGATTCCAATTTTAACAGCCTGGTCCCCAGGGTACAAGGCCTGCGGTCAGCTTTACAGGCCCCAAGACCATTGTCGCAAGGAAGATTGGAGAGAAACTGGATCTCTTTGTCTCAGAGTATGGCGTCTGTAATGAACTCTGGCCTCTTCCCAGCCAGTCTGCTGACACCCGTACTTTCTGGTTTCATCGGTACTGGCCGGAGCCATGGCATCCTGTTAGAGCTGCGAATAGTCCCTGAGCCCTGAGGATAATGATACGTTTCTTAGAAAAGAGCGAGCAGCCACTCTGGGGCTGGTCACAGAGTTTCTGGCTTCAGTATGCGGAGACTTTCCTGGAGGGAATGGGTGGGAGGCCGAGAGGAAAGAGACAGCTCTGGTTTGTGAAAACAAAAGTGTCCGGTCAGACAGGCTTGATGAGAGGACTGGTCTGGAAAAGAGAGAAGAAGCTCTAATTTGTGGCAACGACTGTTACATCATTCACCTGCAATGATGGGGGACAGATTTATTTATAGTTCGGCTGGGCGGAAAATAACATCTTTCTTCATTCAGATGAAGAACCCATGCTGGGATTAGCCTTATTTTTCATCTGACCTTTGAACACTTCCTTTGTGTTAAAACCAGCCTCATTGATTGAATTTGAAAGGGATTCAAGGTTGACAGCCGAGCCCCGAGATTTCTGTGCCAGAACTGACTTGCAGAAGGTTTATCTCTCTCCAGAATTTCCCAGTCATGGCTGGCTGGCTGGCTCCTGCAGACTTTGGTTAATGTGGTCTCGAATTCTGCTCATCCTGCAGGAAAAAATCCTTCCACCAAAATTTTACAGGTCATGTGATTATTTAAGGAGCATCTTTCTTTCTGATTTTTCTGCCCATTATTTATTGAAGTATTCTCTCATTTAGTGACTCTTTGAGCAAGACTGGCAGGATGGTGGATTTCTAGAAAGAAAATTCTACTTTATCATTACTTATATTGGTCTGCTCAGGCACAGAAACTTATTTTCTCACAAGTATGGAGGGTGGGAGCCCAAGATCAGCTTGCTGGCTTGGTTGGGTTCTGGTGAGGGCCCTCTTCCTGGCTTGTAGACTGGGCTATCTCTTCTGTGTCCTCACATAGTGGGGACAGAGAACAAGCTCCCTAGTGTCCCTTTTTATAAGGACACAAATCTCATTATGGGGGCTCCACCCTCAAGACCTCATCCAACCTAATCACCTCTTCCCACCCTAATACTATCACATGGGGGTTAGGGCTTCAACAGATGAATTTTGGAGGGACACAGTTTTGTCCATACCAGTTATTTTAAAATTTTAAGACATATCATCACAAATAAAAACACACCCAACTAGAAAATTCTATGGTAGATTAGGCATTTGCCTCTTGAGAATATTTTATAGCACTTCCTCAATGATAAAATCACCCTTCACTGTCGAATCTCCTCCTTTCTGCTGACCTGTTCTTTCTCTCTGATTTCCTGCCGGACCACAGAATGACATTCCTTACCTAGGAATACTCTGCTTTCACACCTAGCTCCCCCCATGAACTTGTAGGTATTCCCGTAACTGTGCATTATAGAGCTTTGCTGCAGTATCACAGTCCACCAGCAGGTGTCTCCACATAACACCTAAATGGCCTGAAGCCTAGTTTGAAT